CGGATTGGAACAGCATTTAGCCGTAAGACTTTAAAATCTCATCCTGTTGTCAATTTTCGGAACTACTGAATGTGATAATGCATCTGAAAGGTAAATAATGGCCATTAAGAAAGAAGTAGCTATAAATCATGTGATTAGAATAGACCAATAAAATGGGTCTATTGATCGATGCCGTTTCCATTCTTAATCCCTTAAATCCCTTGACATGCTTTTGGTTTTGATTTCTGCTATTTAATGGCAAAAATAAATGCTTTCAAATGCATATCTGTCATAAAAATAACATCGTATTTTATTTTGAAATGCTGTAATAATGGCCTAATGAATTTTTGCATACAACAAAAGAACTTATTAGCACATAAATACTTGAATGGACAGATTAACGATGTTACTGAACCTTTGAAAATGACAAGAAATTATCGGAATATCTTGTAAAGCAGCGATTTATTTTGGTGTCGGAAGGTTTGTATCATCGATGTTACAATGTTATTCGCTGCCTTAATAAATCTCACAAAGTCACTGCCCAGTAATTCAACCATTATATAAACAACACATTGGGAAATGAATTTTATTGTCTTCGACACCACTGTCATTCTTATAAATCAGTTTTTTCTGTCGTCACGTAGAATAATTCAGTACTAATTATTCTTAGAAGAGACAAAGAAGGTTAACAAAAACCTTACGTAGTCAAAGAAGACATAGAAGGTTAACATTAAAACTCGGGAGTTGTAGAAAGTTAACATTAAAACTCGGGAGTTAGTAGAAAGTTAACATTAAAACTCGAGAGTTAGTAGAAAGTTAACATTAAAACTCGGGAGTTAGTAGAAAGTTAGCATTAAAATTCGGGAGTTAGTAGAAAGTTATCGTAAGAGTTGGGGAATCCAATCACTTAAAATATAGAACAGAAGTGGTCCATTGATAGTTGTCCCACTTAAAATACAAGACAGAAGTATTCCATTAAAAGTCGTCCCCCTTAAGATACCAGACAGGATATAGTCCATTAAAAGTTGTCCCACTTAAGATACAAGACAGAAGTATTCCATTAAAAGTTGTCCCACTTAAGATACCAGACAGGATATAGTCCATTAAAAGTCCTCCCACTTAAGATACAAGACAGATGTAGTCCATTAAAAGTTGTCCCACTTAAGATACAAGACAGAAATAGTCCATTAAAATTTGTCCCACTTAAGATACCAGACAGGATATAGTCCATTAAAAGTTGTCCCACTTAAGATACAAGACAGGATATAGTCCATTAAAAATTGTCCTACTTAAGATACAAGACAGTAGTAGCCGATTAAAAGTTGTTCCATTTAAGATACAAGACAGAAATAGTCCATTAAAAGTCGTCCCACTTAAGATACAAGACAGAAGTATTCCATTAAAAGTCGTCCCACTTAAGATACAAGACAGAAGTATTCCATTAAAAGTCGTCCCACTTAAGATATCAGAGAGGATATAGTCCATTAAAAGTCGTCCCACTTAAGATACAAGACAGTAGTAGTCCATTAAAAGTTGTCCCACTTAAGATACAAGACAGAAATAGTCCATTAAAAGTTGTCTCACTTAGTTTGGAAGACAGAATACAGTGCACGAACAGTCTACTATAGATCTAAGCCTTACAGTATGACTTTTGTCTACGATTCCATTATATATTTTTTTCAACAAACTTTTGAGTAATAATGGCGAACCTCGAACTTCTTTCTACATATTCATGAGGTTTGTTTGTTAGTCTTAGGATTAATTCTAATGTACCAGAAACATAACGTTCGCACTTCCTCTAGTTGGGAGTATTGTAAGGAATCCATAATATAATGTTAATGTAAAGCATTGTTAAAAGTATTAATATATTATTGTTGTTGTTGTAGATAATGTAATATATCATTTTGTTACAAAGCATTGTTAAAGAATTGATATAAGCATGATCCCAGAGCTGCGGATGTTGTAGAAAACCTATTGTTAAGTATTTGTGTGTTGGTTTGATTTCATTGCCCTGTAGAAAACTACTTTTAATAGTTACAATAAAATGTTATGTTTTTTGTTCATCACCTCTTGTGATCTTAAGTTAAACAAAACCGTAATGAGAAGATTCGAACCGCTGACTATGACGAGTGAACAAACTGTTCTTAGTCACAGGAAAGATCAATCGTGACGTCAGATATGAGAAAGTAATTTTCCTTGTGATGAGGATAATAATGAAAGATTTACACGTGTTCATAATATCACAAGGACTGACCATATATATATATATATATATATCCACTGAGTGACCACTGTTATCACCATGACCGTGCATCTGCGTTTTATAGGTCACACTTATTTAATGTTTGTTTGTTTTAGAACAAAGCCGCATTAGGCTATCTGCAGGGAACCAAACCCCGGATTTTAGCATTGTAAGTCCATAGGCTTACCGTTGTCCCACTAGCGGACTTATTTCCTCAAAAGTGGGCCGAAGACCGCCTGGAGGGGGTCACCTTTTTTAACCATTTTCACCACTCTACAGTAGTGTGTTGTCTGTCTGACAGTCAGTGGACACTAAAATGACGTCACATAAGAGATGCTTAACTATGTAATTTGTACTATCATGACGTCAGTAAAACGTGCGCATGCCATAAATCACGAGAAGAATTATGCACTATGTAGGCTACAACACAGCATGACATATGAACTTCAAAAGCTGGAAATAAAAATATTTGTTACTCTTAATTTTGATTTTATTTATTCTTGAAACAGAACACTTTTGGGGACCCTGCGGAAGTACATCTAGTACATGTGTATATTCTATGTCTAGCAGATGAAGTACAGCACGAGTATGGGGGAAGGGCGTTGGTTTTTCTATTACGTATATTTTTTTTTCCTTTAAAAATTGAAGGAACAGATCAGTTTTTAACCTCCCTCACCTACTAAGTTTTCACATTACTTTTAATTCTAACAAGTCCACCAAGCACAAAGCTGCATAATGAACTTGTTGTCCTCTATCATATACACTTGCTGTTTTTGAACTTAAGCACAAAGCTACATAACAGGTATCGAAACCCGGATTCTAGCGTTGTAAGTCTGCAGACGTACCGCTGTGCTACTGGGGGGCATCAATTACAGAGATTTAACAAGAAATTTTACCATTATAAAGTCTCCATGCCTGATACTGAGCCAGAAATTAAACTTTGGTTTCAATCAGTTGGCACTAGAGGGGGTAAACTAAAATATTTCTTTTCTCCAGCGAGCAGTTAAAATTTTGTGATTTTTTTCCTTTACAAAATTCTCCTCAAGAGATTGAACTTTATACATAATATAGAGATACAATAATAATACATAAGAAATATTTCGATAGTTGGATATTACTTTTTTATTATCAAAGCCTTGGTATATTAGAGTACACTCTAACGATAGAGTTGATCAGAAAAGTCCATAAAATGAACCGACTATAGAGAAACCATGTGCTTAAAAGAGTTTCAAAGTTTGTCTAGATAACGAGTCGGAGAAGCCTCGATTTCAAAGCAAAATAATACAAGTAAATATTATAATTCTTCTTGAACAGCCACATCTATTCCAAATTTGAAAAAAAAACCTTTATAAATGATTTACTGTAGGATCGTCTTCTAAATAAATGATTCAAATCAAGATTTCTAGTTCAAATATGGAAGTGCTCTGGCACCGACAGTGTGTGTGTGTGTGTATAACCTTGATTTTGTCAACAAACTGTCACTAGCATGCGCTAGTTATTCAAGTCGACGAAACATTATAATAAGGTTTGTAAATGAACCAAAACCAAACACTATTTCTATTATCTTATAAGATTTTTTTATTAAGCTCTAAAATAAAATTAGAAACTCTTTAATTGTTTTTTTTATATTTACCTACGAAAACAGTTTATTAGGGTTCATTTTTCATACATCACTGAAAATCGTTTCATCTCGATCATTGTTAACCAAGAAGATAATTTCGTCCACTGTTTATCATTTGGTAAAACACGATAATTTCACTTCCTATTATTTCATAACAGGTGCAGTTTGTTTGTACTTTCTGAAACGTCATATTTTTCACTGTTTAGGCCTATCATCATGTTAGTATGTGTATATATATATGCTGCTGTATTATTTGATGCATTCTGAAGACACTAGAATTGATTTTGAGGCTTGTTTCAAATGATGCAAAAGATGGTGTTTTCAAAGCTCTAAAGTTAAACTTCTGTTAGGTACTTTATACAGTACATTCCTCCATACGTGATTTCTATGTAAAATATTATGATTGCCTAACACTAAATGACTCGACTTAATAGATTTGACCAATCAGAAGGAGTAGGTTTACGCTAAGTATAAACATTATTCGAGGTGAATAGAAAATTTGTTTGTTTTTGAATTTCGCGCAAAGCTACACGAGGGCTATCTGCGCTAGCCGTCCCTAATTTAGCAGTGTAAGACTAGAGGGAAGGCAGCTAGTCATCACTACCCACCGCAAACTCTTGGGCTACTCTTTTACCAACGAATAGTGGGATTGACCGTCACATTATAACGCCCCCACGGCTGAAAGGGCGAGCACGTTTGGTGTGACGGGGATTCGAACCCGTGATTCTCAGATTGGGAGTCGAGTGCCCTAACCACCTGGCCATGCCGGGCCGAATAAACAAGAAAGAATGACAATACAATTAATGTGGGCGTGGCATATCGGTAAAGCTATCATTTTCGAGGTTCGAATCCATGCGCAACCATAAAAATATTCCCCGCGCTTTAAGCTGTATGTGTATTATAAGAGTGACATAAAGACGGTATATGAAAAAAGATACTTTATATATTATAGTCGTTTGCTTGTTGTTAAACGCAAAGCTACACAATGGCCTATTTATGCTGTACTAATCACGGGTATCGAAAACCGGTTTATAGCGTTAGAAGTCTTGAGAATGGTTTAATATTCTTACTCCCGATGTCTCACAAAACTACCCTTAAGAGTCTGTAAACAAATCCCGAGATCAGTATTACTAAAAAAAAAAAACGTTTCTAGTTAATTCAAGAGCTTTCAGTTTGTACTGTATCATCTGGATTGTGAACGTCTATGTTGTTCGTATCATCTCTGTTGTGAACGTCCATGTTGTTCCTATCTTCTCTGTTGTGAACGTCTATGTTGTTCGTATCATCTCTGTTGTGAACGTCCATGTTGTTCGTATCATCTCTGTTGTGAACGTCTATGTTGTTCCTATCATCTCTGTTGTGAACGTCTATGTTGTTCCTATCTTCTCTATTGTGAACGTCTATGTTGTTCCTATCTTCTCTCTTGTGAACGTCTATGTTGTTCCTATCTTCTCTGTTGTGGGCGTCTATGTTGTTCCTATCTTCTCTGTTGTGAACGCCCATGTTGTTCCTATCTTCTCTCTTGTGAACGTCTATGTTGTTCCTATCTTCTCTGTTGTGAACGTCTATGTTGTTCCTATCATCTCTCTTGTGAACGTCTATGTTGTTCCTATCTTCTCTTTTGTGAACGTCTATGTTGTTCCTATCTTCTCTCTTGTGAACATCTATGTTGTTCGTATCATCTCTGTTGTGAACGTCCATGTTGTTCCTATCTTCTCTCTTGTGAACGTCTATGTTGTTCCTATCTTCTCTGTTGTGAACGTCTATGTTGTTACTATCTTCTTTGTTGTGAACATCTATATTGTTCGTTTCTTCTCTGTAGTGAACATCTATGTTGTTAATATCTTTTCTGCTGTGAATAATCTTTTCTGTTGTGAACATCTATGTTGTGAATAATCTTTTCTGTTGTGAACATCTATGTTGTTCGTTTCTTCTCTGTTGTGAACGTCTCTGTTGTGAACATCTATGTTGTGAATAATATTTTCTGTCGTGAACGTCTATGTTGTGAATAATCATTTCTGTTGTGAACATCTATGTTGTTCGTTTCTTCTCTGTTGTGAACATCTACAGATGTTCACAACAGAGTAGATACGAACAACATAGACGTTCACAACAGAGAAGATATTAACATCATAGATGTTCACAACAGAGAAGAAACGAACAACATGTTGTTCGTTTCTTTTCTGTTGTGGACATCTGTGTTGTTCGTTTCTTTCTGTTGTGAACGATACAAACATAAACTGACCTTTTATTCTTATTATTACTATGAACTTTCAAAACGTATTAAAAGCATCGTAGAACCAACGATTTCGATTACGTTTAAGAAATATAGACATGTTTGAACATAAAAGGAAAAACATTCTCAATTATAGGTATTTTAATAGTTTTTCTAATATCTAAATGATATTAGAAAATCTTTCCACGAGCATAATCGTTTTAATTTACTCACAAATCGTCCATGTTTGAATAATTTCATGTGGGTTTTAAAACATGAAAACGTTAATTTGTGACCATAGAGAACACGTTGAATGTTATTAAAACTCTTGGTTATTATTGGCATCTGTTAACGTTTAATATCAAAATAAATTCATAGACGGTTTTAAATAAATAATTGTTAGTATTTTCATCTTATGAGATCCTTGAAGTTCAGGCATCGCCATCCCTAAGTTAGAACTGCTGACTACAGAGAGAGAGAGAGAGGGAAAGTGTGCAACCAATGTGCAGCGCTGGACGTTGTAATGTCTTACAGCTAAACGTGCGGAGCGTGTACAGTGGTATAATGCGACTCGAGCCTTAGACCTACTGACCACAGCCCGGTACTTTAACCACAAGACCGAACTCAACTCTAGAAAAGATGCTGGTACATACTTAGATGTTTTGGTAAAGAACTCTAATCCTTCAGCTCGGAAAGTTTAAACTCTAATTATAATGGATGAACTGATGTCTGCAATTCTTAAACTTGTAGTCAATGGGTTATTGAATTTTTCACGTGTTTCTACTAATGAAGAATATCGGTATTAAACTAAGCCATATACACAATACTAATAATCATTTACACAGCATGTAATCTAAGCGTCTGAAGTTATCAATAAACTGCTTTTGCTTAATTAAAATTAACGATTTGTCGATACTCCAGTACTTACTTTTTCTGATTTAGATTCACCGTTGTTTTGTTTTTTAGTAAAACTGTCGCGTGATCTACAAAATGCCCTCGTACCGAATTTCTTGTAAATGACTGACAGTTTTATATCTCATATAAAATCGACTGCATAAGGGATTGTGGTTATCGTCCCGGGCTGCAAATCGGTATGTCCAAGGTTCGATCCCTCAATATGCCGCTAAATATGTCCTGTACTTTCGGCAGTGACTTTTATAAAACTGCTTGTCAGATCTGCAATCAAGAGTAGATGTGTGGACAACACACGCTGCTGCTGATTGGTTGCTCTTCATACGATCTACAATCAAGAGTAGATGTGTGGACAACACACGCTGCTGCTGATTGGTGGCTCTCCATCCGATCTGCAATCAAGAGTAGATGTGTGGACAACACACGCTGCTGCTGATTGGTTGCTCTCCATCTGATCTGCAATTCTATGCCTGAACCTTGCAATTTCTGACTTGGCAGTTTAGACCACGTGTCACATAAATTGTAGATCAAATCGAAAATTCTAAGTTCTTAGCATAAACGCCTGCCCGCTAAAAATACGAGGAAAGATATTTAGAAAAACAACAACAACTTTTAAAAATATTCATGGTTAGTAACGTAAACAACAGTAATCACAAAGCAAATCAACGACTTTAGAGTTTCATTTCATAAGTTTACAGGCTGTTTGCTTGTCCTCGCAACTCGATTAAATTCAACAGGAAAAAAATCTACCAGAAAGAAACCTCACATTTAATGAAATACCCCAGAGAAAACTTTCTACTCAGTGCAAATGGTTCTTTTACTAAGTTTAAGATCTCTCAGTCAGACCAAATGAGCACTCTACTTAACGAGAGTATTCCCTGGTTTCAAATTAGCCAACACGTCACTCTGATATTTTGTGGATATACACCGTTCATATTCAGTAATAGGTTTAGTTAAGTCAAGGCAGAAGAACAAAACAAACTACGAGTGAGCATAAAACTATATTTTTCTGTGCTGACTTTTTTTTTCTTATACGAAATGAACAGCGTATAATCCTCCATATGAGAAGGCTAGTCTGTCATTTAATTTAATTTTTGAAAAGTAAATACATTGCTTCGCTCTCCTTTAATTAAATCCTTCTTCGCGGATTTAAATCAAACAAGAATATCTATTTTGACTTTTCTTTCTAAACTTTACGCTTTTAAAATAACAGAAGAGGCTGCTATAAGTCAAATAATTGGTGACGAAGTGAAATGTTTCGTAATTTACATACAGACCAGAAAAAATAAGTGTTTTCTTGAATGGGATGACTATTATCATTGTACAAACAAACCAAACGACAATCTTTAGAAACAGCACATTAATTAAAACCCATCGAGTCAAGAAAAGAAAAATAAATATCTATTAACATAACTCCGTTTATGTGAATTTTATACCCGAATTAGAGCATCATTGAATCCTAGATAACTAGTTATAGAAATGAGATATCAATCTAATGGTACATGACTCATATTGTAACTTGTTGTTGTTTTAACACAACTGTCCTACTTTGTGTCGAAGAAGAAGAAAAAACGTTTAATTTAGCTCCATTGATTTTGAATATTACGAAAACGATAAATGTGTAAAATTATTCTTCAGTTTTTATACAGTCAAATAAATTTCCTCCATTATCAGTTGTTTTTTTATGAAGAAATTACATTATATTAAGAAACATCTTAGGTCTTTGTTTATCAATATTAATGGACATCAGGTTAATGAGTTTACATTTCAAAACTGTTTTAATCTGTGTTTCCAGAAGTTGTGTTAAGAGAATCTTGACGACACTGCTCCACAATTGCATAGATTGTACTTTGAAATAATCGGCAATAATGTTTGCATAATTATTTCACGTGTAAAAGCTAAACTATGAATTCTAGTTTCAAACACAAAAATATTTCCTTTTTTAGTTTTTAAAGACATGTGACAGAACAAATCATATAATGTTTGTAGTTCAGCACGATGGGCTACTGTGCTCTGCCCACCACGGGTATCAAAACCCAGTTTTTAGCGTTATAAGCCCGCAAACATATCACTACACCTCTGGGAGCAAATCATATAATAACTTATTGGTTTGAGAATCTCCCCCGCATAACCTCTTGAGCTCTACTGTCATTTAACTGTAAAATCATGCTCCCTCGCATAACCTCTTGAGCTCTACTGACATTTAACTGTAAAATCATGCTCCCCGCATAACCTCTTGAAGCTCTACTGACATTTAACTGTAAAATCATGCTCCCCGTATAACCTCTTGAAGCTCTACTGACATTTAACTGTAAAATCATGCTCCCCGCATAACCTCTTGAAGCTCTACTGACCTTTAACTGTAAAATCATGCTCCCCGCATAACCTCTTGAGCTCTACTGTATACAGCACACTCGCATTCAACTGCTGGAGGCGGACCGTACCCAACACGGCGAATCAGCGGTAAATGGGTAAATAAAGATAACTAGAAAATAACGTATAATTACTTTAGTAAAGATCGCGTAAATATAATTAATTACAACTTCATTGTATAAGATATTTTTGAAATAACAAAACAATACGGGCCCGTACGCAGAATGTTTGAAAGGGGGGGTCTAATTTGCGAGACCAACACATATTGAACGAAGCGGCATCAGACGTCCATTTACAAAGTGACAACAGAAACCATTGCATGCGACTATTTCAAACCATAAAATGCTAATGTTTCATCATAAGAATGTAGACTATGTAAAAAACGTTAAACACCATACGCAGCTGCGCTATAACTGTACAAACATCATATATTTACATCACGAAAATAGGAGATTCGGCCAAATCCCGTCGAAACCCCCTGCGTACGTGCGTGCAATACTTTAAGTAAAACTGATTACATACTTTTTCCCCAAATGCTAATTTACGTGTTCGTCTACGGTAAGAACGTTTATCGTTACCCAATGGATATCTGTTTGTTGGCAGATTGAGCTTTTTTTTTAGTAGCAGGCCAGAAAATTAATCAAGATTCTAAAAAAAAATTTCTCAAAATGTTTTGTTTGTTTGTTATTAAGCACAAACTACACAAAGGGCTATCTGTGCCGTGTCCACCATGGGTATCAAAACCCATTTTTTTGCGTTATAAGCCTTCAGACTTACCCCTGATCCTTTGATAGCATCCAAAATAGGCCCAGAAAGCAAATCCTAATTTACTCTTTCCGAACTTTTTAAAATTATAATCACCAAGTGCTAAAAAATTACTTCGGGCTTGCGATAATTTTATTGTCCTGAAATGTTTAGTACAGTAATTCCTGTACGCTGAATACGAAAATCATATCCATTTTTCTCCATCACGTACAGAATTTTCAAAAAAAAACCTCACATGTACTTTTACACAAGTGAATAATTTTCAGTGAAATCGAATCACATTTGTTATGCTCAAAATGTTGACAACCACTGGCTATAGATTTCTCAAGACCAACCGTGACGTGAGAATGTTATCGATCGTTCTAGAAATAAAACATAACAAACGTAATAATAAAAATGTTCATTGTAATAAATGAAATTATAATTTGATCTAAGTAAGAATTTTTTTCTTCCCGATTTGTAAAAAGTTCTTACGTGACAGAAAAAATAAATATTATTTTCGGAATCTACGTAGCTGAATTGTGGAAAATCCGTTATTAAAACCAAAAAAACTTTGATGGAGTTTGACTTCGCAGGCATGTGTTATTTTCATCTTAGCACATTGTTTCAATTATTG